TATTTAAAAAATATGTTTTTGTTGTACCAGTAAACATATTTGCAAGAAATCTTGAACTTTCCATGTAAAAAGTGATGGACTAATGACAATTTTTGAAATAGAAATATATGTTGCTTGAAAAAAAAAAAATCAGAATTTCCTCAAAAATGACGAGGGAGGGGGTGATAAACTAATAAATTTTTTTAATGGGCCTTACGGCTTTTTAAACTACAATTTTATTGCATACATAATCGCGACATAATAGTGTTGAAAACGCGCTTTTTACTACATTAGGACGCGCACACGTTCCACTGCAGCTACTTCATGAAGTTATAGCAACAATGGCCACAAAATTTCGTGAAAATAAGTATTCAAATTTATAGAAACTAATTTATTAATAAAATTTATCAAGTATACATTGGTATTTTATGGGAGTAGGCTTTATAGATGCTGTATCCACTGAGATATCATATAATCCTAGTTATTATATGACTTTGAATGACTTTATTTTCTGCACAATTGCCGTTGAATTGTAAATATACAACGCACTCTTTTGCATGTAATTGTTGTCTATATTTTTTGTAGTTAATTTGCAAAGCCCTAACCCTAAGAAATAATTATGTTGTTATTATGTTTAACATACTTTTGTTAGGACTTAAGATCATTTTTTATATAACCTTTTCTTCAACCTATTTTTTTTCCTTTAGCCTGGATGCGTTGAAGACTAGGCTATGAATACAGCGCGTGTTTTGTGCGCTCTAACAACCCTCTACGGCGGCGTTCAGCGAAAAAGGGGCCTAGCTAGTCTTCACTTTGTTACATAAGCTGTTATAATAAAGTATTATTAGGACCATATACTAATTGGTAAATTAAAAAATGAAACAATTTGAAACCAAATTCGTAATACATAATACATTTATTTCATAACATGGGCCTAATTATGAATGAAAATTAAATCTTTAATTTATATTATTAAATCATTTTATTTTCTTTTCATATTTTTTTGCAAATTATGTGATCAAATGTAGGCCTATTATTTTTTAAACATCATAGTTATTAGTAAACATTTTTTTATTTAGTAAAAATTAATAACCCCAATACAATAAATCAAATTATCTGGGATATTTTATTCAAATACGATTTCCACTGCATAGAGTATATTGTAGATAAGCCTACTTTAGCAGATGCATGCGGTCAGAAGATACCACACCAGTATGTAACTGAGGATGTAAACATTAAGAATATTAAAATAATTTTAATGTCGTCAATATATTCATAAATACATTTACACAGCTCACAAAACAGTTAGACCCTAATAATCTAAATAATTAAAATTTAAAATAATGTACTCTAGTTTTGGGGTGCAATAAAATTATATCAAGCTAGCCTGTATAAAATGACGATGCATTAATGTTAAATGATAAAAATTGCAAATAAGTTAATTCAACCATTGGTTAACTAATTATAATACGCATAGACTTACTACTGTAATATAATAATTAAATATTACTAAAATAGGCACGATACAAATGTCTGCATTTTAAATGCCATATTGTCATCGTCATCGTCACTACGATCATTATCATCATGGTTTATATTATTAATATCATTATTATTACTCTAAAACAACTAATGCTAGGCCTAATATCAAACTTGTACCCTTAACATTCACGTACAAGCAAAACTAGGTTTTTCGTCCTAATAAAACAGCCTGTAGATGAAAGTAGACACACTAGGAATTCCAAAACACCCCCTACTTTAACTCTGAAAAATTATGAGAATCGTCGGTAACTAATTTAATTATCGATACTTTTTTATGCTTCAAGCTTTTACCAGGATAGGAAGCTGGCTGGTTTAAGCCATCTAACTTGAATTAGCCTTCTTGTGTGTGGTATTGTTATGCTGTTACGCCGCCTAGCCGATGCGGCAGTGTGGCCAAAGATACTTTTTGTGTGGCTAAGGAAAGTTTTGTTTTTCTGAGCATGTGCAGTTTGTGCTTATCTTCCTTATTAGTATAACAATACCACATATAAAGCTATTTCAAGTTAGACGACTTAAACCATGCCAGCTTCCTACGAAAGCCTATTCGTGCCACTTAAGTATATAAAATCATCAAAATGTAATCCGAAATTTCGGATTAGTAATCCGAAATAACGGATTAGTAATCCGTTATTTCGAATTAGTAACTCGATATTTCGGATTACTAATCCGAAATTTCGAATTAGTAATTCGTTATTTCGAATTAGTAATCCGTTATTTCGGATTACTAATCCGAAATTTCGAATTAAGTAATTAGTTATTTCGAATTAGTAATTCGTTTTTTCGGATTACTAATCCGAAATAACGAATTACTAATTCGAAATTTCGGATTAGTAATCCGAAATATCGAATTACTTATTCGAAAATTCGGATTAATAATCCGAAATAACGAATTACTAATTCGAAATAACGAATTACTTAATTCGAAATTACGGATTAGTAATCCGAAATAACGGATTACTAATTCGAAATAACGAATTACTAATTCGAAATAACGGGTTACTAATCCGAAATAACGAGTTACTAATTCGAAATAACGGATTACTAATCAGAAATTTCGGATTACATTTTGATGATTTTATATACTTAAGTGGCACGAATAGGCTTTCGTAGCTTCCTATCCTAGTAACAGTTAAAAGTCCTTGCATCAAGAAGACTATTAGTATTTTTAAAAAGATGCAATTTCATACACTTAGGCCTACAGATTCGGATTTTCTTTCGATCACTCAAAATGCCACACGATAGAAACACAAGATAGAGTTCTCCGCAGGAAAAAAAACTGTTCCACCGAAATGCATGGTGGGGATACAAACAATCGGGGGCCGCGTACGCGGCTGGATGTAAAAAACTTCTGCCACCGTTACATAACTGTGAATCATAATCTCATTTTCGCTGCTATTATCCATAGGATACAAACAAGTAGGCATAAATAAATCAAAACAATAAAATGACAGACACAAAAGCACAGAATCGTATGACCAGACTCTAATTAGTGGTAAAGTTTTCCTCCATTAGTGGAAAAAGAAGGCCGCCGTGTGTGTCTGGACAGACTTACTTAGCAACAGAAGGGCTCCCTGTAGGCCTACGTCGGGCCTAAGTATAGAAAACTGGTAGTCTCTTCTTCCTCGGTCTCATTCGCCTCTTGCATAATGTATACTCATTAGCTGTCATGAATATTTATAATCAATTGAAACATCGCGGCAAATTGCAAATTTTCTATAGGCAAGTGCGGTGCCAGTGGGTCTAGCCTAGGTTAGTATTTTGTTCCTTAAAAGATTCGCCGTGTAGATACCATTGATGAGAAAGATTTGGATGTGAAAGAGAAAATGAGTAAAAAAGAGGAAGAGGAATTAGGCCTAGGTGACGTCAATATAGGCCAAGTAGTATATTCAGTGTTAGAGGTAGTGCATGCCAAACCTAGAAAAGCCTATGGTACGAGAAAGAGAGCACATCTAGGCCTAGGCCTGTCAGGAAAAATTTGGTCCGGGGCCAAAATCGGTCCGCCGGACCGATTTTGGCTTTAAAATTACCTGCCAAATATAGTCCACATAAGACAAAATCGGTCCGGCGTCTATTTAATAGTTATAGCTTGTATTTTTATAAAGTTCATAATTTTTTGTAATGAAATGATAGAAAAATATCTTATCTCTTATTATATAGCTTAATATGTTTTCATTCGTTATTGTATGTGTGAAATCACTGGTGAAAATTAAGTAAAGCTCGCGCCCATTAAACCCTTTGGTGTAAAAGTAGAAAAGAAGTTAAACGATGTGGTCTTAAATCGTGTTGGTCCGCCGAAAATGATGCACGCTGTGTGTATCGCCAAAGAGTATAAATAGAACAAGAGAGCCAACAACGCTCATTGGGAGCGTAAAAAAACGATACGCTCTACGCAGCTAGTGTAGGACGCCAACTAACGCTTGTATATGTTTTATTACCCAGTACTGCACCGCGCACTGTAGGTTTGTCTGTTTATCTGTTCTCCACAAGATACGGTGCTTTTGTTTTCTGCTTACTGAGTTTATAGCGGGCGTACTTCTACCGCGCTGCGCAGCGCTGCACTGGGTAATAAAAAGAATATACAACCGTTAGTTGGCGTCCTACACAGGCATGACGTTTTTACGAACGGGACTTTGCTCTCTTGTTCTATTTATACTCTTTGGTATCGCCTAGGAAATGCATTACCACCAGTATTTGGTGGTTTGATAAAACACTTCCTCAAAAGCTTAACGAATCATTCTGTCACTGCAAAAGACTTTGCAAGTGTGGGAGAAGCATACTTTCCTCTACTCCACGGGAGAAACAATCATACCCTACTAGCAGCAGAGGAGTTACAAATGAAGTGGCCAGGCCGACGCGGACCAATGTTATCCAAGCGGGACCGGTTTTAGCTGCTAAAATCAATCCGGAGACCGATTTTAGTAGTCCGGCGGACCGATTTTGGCGGCCAAAATCTGTCCGCCGGACATTTCTTGGCAACCCTATAGCTATGACCTTTGACCCTTTGTTCTTGCCTTCTAATTGGTTGGCAAAGGACAGCTTTTTTTTTATTAGCCGTAAGCAAAAAATGACGAATTGTTTATAATTCTGCACGTTTACATAATAGAGGGCGCATGACTTTATGTCGCTGTGTGCGAATGAGAGAAAAAATAATACTATTTAAATAAAGAATAGTCAATAATTCTGTTTATAATGTTGACAAATAGATAATATATACTGGTAAAGAATAGTAAAAACTGAATTAGAGAAAATAGTTCTATTTTCTCTACGGTTCAACTTAGCTGCTAAATAAATAATAATTCTCTGCTCCCTCCACTCCATTGTACTAACGTAATTTGAATCATATGAATTCTCACATTAGTTTTGTAGCGCGACAAGTCCTCGTTCAATACTTCATAGATTCGTGTTAGTGTCAATTTTTTTTACGAAATTTTAATTGACATAGATAGGAACTAAAAAATGCCAATAACGGTAAGAGACCTAAATGGATGGTGCTACGATATATTTCTTCAAGATCTGTATCCACGTCTGGACAGTGACTCGTCGCAAACATTCGGTCCTTACTCAAATTCGTATAGTATGGTGATAATGAGGCTTAAGGAGTGCAGTTCTTTCAGTCCTGAGAAAAAGTCCTGCTATCACAGGAATTAAACCTAGGACACGTTAATCAAAAGGCAAGCAGCGTAACCCATCCTGCCAACGTTCAAATCTCCCTCTTGTTTTTGTTTGTTTTTGTTTTTTGTATTTTTGTTTTGTTTGTTTGTTTTTGTTTTTGTTAAGCCTCAAGTCCGTGGTCGATCAGCTCGAGTCAGTCTGGCCAAGGCAAATGACTCAGTCGAACTACCTTTCTAATTCTGATGATCAACAAATTCGAGGACCGAGATACATGTGATATTGTCAATGCGTAAAATTTTGAGGTTAAATGGTCCAGTAGTTTTTGAGTTATGCTCTCGGAAGGACATACAGACAGACAGACACATACACAGCCCCACAGACACACAAACTGACGGAGCTCATTGCAAACCCTCTTTCTCTGAGGGAGCAAGAGTAGCAGCAGCAGCTAAAAATAATGTGGTTCAATTCATTCATCTTCAGGCAGTTCTACGTTCCAGTATCAGTGCTCACAGTATAGTGTGTACCTACTCAACGACAGCCAACCGTACACCTGGGTAGACCTAAAGCAAATCTGCAAATCAATGCATGGTTATCTTGCAAGCATTACAACTGAAGATGAATTAGATGCCGTCCTTAACAACACGGACATGTCAGACAATGCTAGATTCGCAATCGGATTATCGCGGCTGCCGGGATTAAATCGGGATGATAATAGAAACTGGAAGTGGGAAACAGGAGAGGAGTTGTCTTCCTTTATTTCATGGGGTAAGAATCAGCCTAATGAAGGCGAATCAAATCATGCAGGAATTCGAATCAACAACAGAGCGATCTTTGATGATAACGCTAACAACGTTTTGAATCAAGGAAAAAAGCCAACAAAAGGATACATTTGTGAATATGGTAAGCTTTTTGAATTAATATATTTATTTATTTATTCAGGCCTTTATTATTTAATCATATTATTTATTATCTTAAATACCTTTATTCAGAATCGTATAAATAAGAATATATATGAAGAACGGTTTGTTTTTCCTAACTTTGAGGTCTGGGTTTTAATACCCCACTATGTGTATTTCGTCTTGAGCAATGCGTTTTATCTGCGTTCTCTCCGGTAATACTAAAGCATGTCGAACAAATGACCAGGGACAAAAGTGCTTCGTGTCAGCAAAGAAAAGAGATTTACTGTATTTAAGCAATTACAAGCCATATAAAATACCAAATACAAAAATAACATGACAAAAGCAGAAAGCAGAATAAAGCATTCATTAAACTTCCAAAAATACACTAAAACCCTAGGAAGTGTCAACCATGTTGAGTGAAGTCCTGATTCTCTAAGACAGCACTGATAAAAAGTTTACCGTACAGTAGGCCTAAATACTCCAGTACTAGAACAAGGTCGATCTGAAAAGCTTGCAAAACCATGTATCATGGTGGTAGAAAAATATTACAATTTTTCGTTAGATACATGTAAGCATAAACGACAATAGGTTTCTCTGAAATAAAATCAATTTAAATAGACCTAAGCATGGAGGACATAGATTACCACTCTCTACTCCACAAATATCGGAAGGTACATCAATAAAATAATTCCGACACAGGGGTAGGCCCAACAAATCGGTGCCACACATGGCATGTTTATAACATCACAACTAAACGTAGACGCTACAGTGTATTAAGAGTTTAACAAGATTTCTTATATAGAAATCTTATATAGATTTCTTATATAGAAATCTACTTATGGAAAGTAGATATTGTAGGATCATTACATATATGAACTATCATAACCATCTTTGTAAAGACTAAATGAGTCGTTTTTAGCGAATCCCAGCGAGTGGAACGATTCCAGGTTAATTCCGGGTTAAAGCATGGGTAAGATATGATTGCATCTCGATTCTCGATATGTCAGGGCCTAGGTTATGGAGTGTAATTTTTTCAATAAATATTCACTGGAGTTATTAATTTATAATTAATAATAATGATAACTAAACTTACTATATCTGTTCGTTCGAACAACAGGGTTTTCCCAATTGCTTTAATGAGAAATGAAGTTAAAATTGCAACAAAAAGAAAAATTTTAAAAAGTATAACGTAAAAAAAACAAAAAAAAAAACAAGGAAAACCAACATTTTTTAGTACTAAAAAAATAATAAAGTTAAAAAAAAAGAATGAAAACCAAGTTTAGTGAGACTCGAACTATGGCTGCAATGGTAATAGCGAAGTACATCGAATCTCATCACCATTTGCGCGATATGAGCCGACCTAGGCCAGTACATTTTCAGTTCATAGGGATTCATTGACTGAAAGCAAAATTTGTTCATGCACATCACGGTAGTTTTGAGTTTAACCTAGCTGTAACTGGTTTAAGTGCTTTAGAAAAGGCTAATTGCCTTTAAATAATTTAATCAACTGTCAAAAAAAAATCTTTAAACGGTCCTCATATCCACACCCTACTGCAGATCGTCACCAAAATTGGATCATATTTTCTTCATTTCACCATGAAAAACTATTCTGCAAAGTTTCATTTTTATCCATTTATAACTAGGACGTAAGCAATTTAAATGACCCTCAAATTTAGACCCTAACCTTTGTCGCCCCAAACACATAATGATATCTTCCTTGGAACTTAAACTTTCCCGAATGTTTCATTCGGGTCAGTTGATCCGATTGTGAAATATCATGTCTGGGATGTTTTCCTTTGAATGGTCCTTAAATCTACACTCTACTCCGGAACGTCACAAAAATTTAATCATTTCTTTACTCGAACTTGACAAACTGTTATACAAGGTTTAAATTATACCCATTGATTTTTTTAAAGAGATATTTAGGTCTGGGTCCTCAAATTG